AGACTGTGGGGGGAATATGGATTCTAGCTGCCCACTGCAGCTGCAGGTCTGCGGCTGTACCTCCTTTCCACCTTCCAAATTGCACACAAATGCATTTTACTGGCAGCATCGTACTAAAGGGAGCTTTTTTGTTTGTTTTTTTTAAGGTTTTGGTCACAGGGCATGTGCACTCACCAGAGAGCATCTGTTCTCCTCTCGGGATGTGGGGTCTGCAAGCAGACAAACCTGGTGTGATTTTCAAGCCACCAGGTCTGAGACTGAAACTGCTGTCAGCTAGTGGGGGAGTCTAGTGCCTTAATCACCATGCCACCTGCCAGCCCCAGGGAAAGGAGTCTTGAAGTGTGGCCTCAGGCACCAGCATAGAAAGGGGTAGCAACGGGAGTCAAGAACCAAGTAGAGAGATAGAGTAGGTTTATTAGTATTAACTTCATGATCTCCAAAATGTGATTGCTTAAAAACAGGTCTCTGCTGGGGCAAGCAATAAATAGTAACACTGCTATAGCTATGTCAGTGTTGCTTATTTTTGAAAAAAGGTTTTCACTAATTATATTATTTCCTTCTTCCCCAGAGGTGGACTGAGCCAGCATTTTTAATCTGTTTTAGGTGAGGAAAAATGAGATCAGAGGTTTTGCGTGTTGCAGTCTAGCGTCCAGGGCTTCTGTCCCCAAGTTGGGGTTCTCTAGAAGCCCATGTTCCTCCTTTATCATGATCTTGCCTCCTCCTCTGACTGTTACCACCACCACAAATACTTTGAACTCTTCTGGAGAGGGACCCCAGCTATACAATGGTGCGCTTGACCTTCAGGCAGTCAGAAGCTTTGGGTGGCTCCTCAGGTGCAACTGGAAATACTAAAGATGAAATGAAAGCAAAACAGGCATCTGAGAAAAGTTTTTTTTCCTCCTGCATTTTAGGACCTTGGGCCGTATTTATTCAGAATTTGCTATTATTCCCTAGATATATTGAACATTTTACATTCACATACAACGGAGCAAATTAAAATCACTTACCCTATACTCTACCCAAAATTAAGAAAACAAATTGATCACTGCCCAAGTATAAGGAAAGAACCTGAGTGACGTAGTCTTCTGTCTGTGGAGAGCCTTCTGTTCCGGATGCTGGGATTTAGGGAGTCAGGCCAAGGGAAGGAACTGGGGGCGGGGGACCAGATGGAAAAGTACATGTTAGAGTGAGGGCCTGTCAGCAATGGGAGCAGGGCCACTGTTTTATCATGTCTGCTTTTGCTCCCCTCAGAGGACTGTCTTGTGCTGTGGTCATCTATGATGGTAGCAAAGAACACGAGTACACTGAAGAGGTGGAGAGAGGAAGCCTGGTGCTCCCTCTGTGTGAGGCAAGGTGGTCTGGGGTATATTAACTGAGAGGGCCCTGCAGATCTAGAGAGGCTGGCTGAGTAGGGACTTGGTCTTCCAGCTGTGGGCTTTACTGGACAGCATTGGGCAGTTCGCTGTTGAGGACTCATGGAATAATCCTACACAGAGTAACTACATTTTCACATTATGGAATGTTCTGACTATGTAGCCGCTTTCACTAAATATGTCTTTTTCCCCAGTTGTTGGCATTTCATAAGATTAGGTTTGGGTTTGATTTTTTTCCCTAATGGGAACTCAAACGTTTGCGACACTTAAGTCATTTGACTACCATATATGGCTGTGAATGGACAAAAAACTGTCCCATCCGTCTTCCACTATCAAAAGCAACATCTTTTTTGACAGTTGAAGAAACATCTGTGGGGAATGCAAACGGGACGTTCATGAAGGTATTATAGGCGTGGAAGAAGAACACCAGAACAGAGCTAATCATCGAACCCGAGAAAGCCTCCTCAGACAAAAGTGGAGTCAACCTCTCAGGCTTCATAAATGAGCCGCTAGACTTTAATGATAAAAGCTATGTGATTAGTGCACTAAATTACATATTGTCTTATTTTTCAGAGGGAGATCTAGAAAATATAGAATCAACATAATTACCTTTTATTAAACTGCTTTTTTCAAATGTACAAGACAGACACAAGCCCTTGGGTTATTCGAAAGACAATGTAAGGAGCTCCGCTCTTAAACCTGAATCTAACAATCTTACTTATGAAAATAAATTGAGCAAGCACTATTTTCTGGAAAATTATTAAATGCAGAAATTCAAGAAAAAGTTGATGAAGTCAAAAAGAAAGAAAAAATTGCCATGCTTATGCAGTATAGATTTTAGGCCCCAAATGTAAGCACCAGATTAAAAAAAAAAAAAATCAGAGCCTGCTCAGCTATAGGAGAACAGCTTACCAAAGAGTCCGAGTGTAGGTAAGATGCTACAGAACACAATCATCAAGGAGCCAAAGACTATTTGGAGGCGGCAACTGAAAGAAATGAGAGATCAGAGCAAGAGGAAAGAGAGTGACCAGCCACCTCTGAGGAGTGTTGCCAAAAACAGGCTCAGGAGGGTCAACCCAAGAAAACTAGAACAGTTGCACATGGTGTTGAGGCCTAGGAAGCTAGTGGGAAATGCTTTCCACATAGAACAGTCCTTCCCAAAGGAACAGAAGGCCCTAGTCTGTTCGAACTTGAAACCTCCCGTGTGGCGTGGGCCTTCTGCCTACACCATGCTAAAATCCCCACCAGACGTTAAAAAAAACCCAAAAGACTTAACCTACACCATGCTTGTTTTCGAAGATGCAAATGCTAGAATGAAGAATCTGAAGGCTCCTAAACCAGACGTCCATTCCAAAGAAAGTCACTACTTTCATAAAACTCACTCTCATGTGGTCCACAGAAGACTCAAGGCCAAACTGACTCAAAGGTTGAGAAAGAAAAATTCACCCAAGAGGCTGATGCTTGCACAAAGGCCTCCATTCTCTGGAGTTAGGAGCCTCATCAATTCCCCTTCACAAGGGGCTTTTTCATCTTCAGGAGACCTGATACCTCATGAAAATCCATTTCCAGAATTCCTGGGTATTTCAGAACCTTTGTTTCAAGACACTATTGTAGAAAAGATTACTACAAGAAATGGTTTTGAAGAAAACATTCCTATAGAAGACACTCCTGTGCCACAAGAAGAAACTGCCCCTGAAAACACAGTCCACAGGCCTGCTGCTCTAGATTCCACGGCAACCTCACACAACTTAATGCCAAGTGATAAACAGAGTGGTGAAATGCAGTGGGAATACACATGGGTACTCGCTTACCCCCCAAGCCCAAAGGCTTCACTTACCCAGTGCTCTCATCCCCAGGCAATCAATTTGAAATTCAGCTGAACCAGCAGCTAAGGTCCCTCCAGAACCGGCCTCCTGATGAAGCTCCTCAGCGAACAGCAGGAAGTAAAGGTGTCCACGGCAGACTGGGACACAGACCAATGGAAGACTGAGCATTACATCAGCAAGAGCCCGGAGGCCCAGAGTGGACGCAAAGAGCAGCAGTCAAGTGAGGTGAGGACAGCTGCCAAAACAGGAGCCGTGGGTGTTTCGGTTGTTCAGGATAGGCCACAAAAGCACCCAGACAGGGAGGCCAGGTGCTCCGGTCCATAGCTTTTCTCAGCCACGCAACTTTGACCAAGACAGTGACCTCCTCTATTGGTCACTCAGAGAACAAAGCTGACCAAACACACATGATAAGTCAGGTCTATTGAGAAAATGCTTAGTAATAAGATCATGTAACACATTTGATGTGCCTCTTCTTTAGGAACCTACTCACCTGATTATGGGGTTTTGAGCAGCTAGCTTTTATCTTTTCCTTCTTATCCTGCTCAGATGTTGGCCTTGCCAGGTCTTCCTCATGAGTTGAGTGAAACTTTGGCTCCATTCACGGAGAACTATTCAGCTCAAGAGCTGCCCCCAGGGCCAGATTGGCTTGTTGTTCCACATCAGGAAGTTTGGGACAAGTTCACCTGGCAAGAAAGGTTCCCAGCGGTGGTTTCGATAATATACTGGGATCAGAGCCAACATCAGGATGCAGATCACCAGTGGTTTGAAATACCTGTTCCATCTCCGGATAGTCAGAGCACAAAAACAGCAAAGTTTGTTTTATCCCTGTATGTGAAGAAAAATCTGCCTCAGCACCGTCGCTTTGCCAAGGTTGTGGTTGGATCTCCAGACCAATTTGTATCCGTACCTCAGCATTGAAGACCTACTTTGCGTGATGAATATCTAGAGCCAACCACTGACATAGCTTATTCTGGTGGCCTAGTTTCTCAATTACAGGTGGACTCAGGTGAGTCTCCAGAGTCATTTGTGCAAGGTATATGTTGGCAATTCCAGCTAGAAACCAAGACTCACAATCCCAAAGAGGGCCAGCTCTCTTCACCCCAGAAAGAGGCTCCAGCTCCACCTCCACAGCCCCTTGAAGGGGTTGAACCTTCAATCCAGCAGGAAGCCCCAGCTCAGCGACCTCTTGCTGCTGAACATGATAATAGCTCAGCTCTCAGTTCCATCTCTGGGTCTGAATTAAGATCAGCACTTGCATTTGCCTGGTGTCACAGGTAAACCTGTAGCTCTGAAGCTTGTGATATCTAGAGCAGCAGGGAAGGGGGTTGAATCTACTCCAAGCCAGAAACAGGCCCCAGATCAGCCACCAGAGGACCCTGACAGGGTGGAAGCTGCAGTCCAACTAGAGGCCCCAGCTCAGCCCCCAGACCTTCCTCTGGAGGCTGAACCTCTCTCTGAGCAGGAGCTGCTGCCTGATCTCCCGAAGAGGCTGAAACTTCAGACCTGCAGCAGGCCTCATCTCAGTCTCCACAGAATAATAAACCATAGTTATACCTCCAGGTCACAGTCAAGCCCAGCATTCAGTCTTGCCCAATGTCCTTAAACCTGCTGGTCTGGAGTTTATCACAATACAGCCTGCTGGTGTGGTGGGAACTTCTTCAATCCACCACGAACGAGGCTGCATCTCAGCCCTTAGGGCCAATTAATAATGAGGAACTTTATGGAACCCAGCATGAAGTCCCAACTTTGGCTCGAGAGCCTCCCGAGACACTTGAATCTTTACTAGTTCAACAGGAAGCTGTCACTCAATCTCGAGAACCTGCTAGGGACTGTCCAAAAGCAGTCCCATCTGTCTTCCACTATCAAAAGCAACCTGTTCTTTTTTGACAATTGAAGAAACATCTTTAGGGAATGTAGATGGGACATTGTTGACAGTATTACAGGCCCGGAAGAAGAAGAACAGAACAGAGCTAATCATCAAGCCTGAGAAAGCCTCCTCAGACAAAAGTGGCGTCAATCTTTCAGACTTCATGAATGAGGGCTAGACTTTAATGATGAAAGCGATGTGATTAGTGTACTAAGTTACACATTGAGAGTTATTTTTTGGAGGGAAACCTCAAGACTGCAGAATCAACATTATTGCCATTCATTTAAATTGCTTTTTTTCAAATGTATAAGATGGAGACAAGCCCTTGGGTTATTTGAAAGACAATATAAGAACCCCCTCCCCCCCCAACCTGAATCCACTGATCTGACTTATGAAAATAAATCGAGGAACTCAATTTACTGGAAAATTTATTAAGTGCAGAAATTCAAGAAAAAATTGATGGGGTCAAAAAGAAAGAAAAAATTGCCATGCTTATGCAGTCTAGACTTTTAGGCCCCAAATTTAAATGCCAGAATCTTTCAAAAGAAATCAGAGCCTGCTCAGCCACAGGAGAACAGCCTACCAGAGAGTCAGAGTGTAGGTAAGAGGCTATAGAACATAGTCATCAAGGGGCCGAAGGGCATCCGGAAGAGGCACTGAAAGAAATGAGAGATCAGAGAAACAAGAGGAAAGAGAGTGCCCAGCCACCTGTGAGGAGCGTTGCCAAAGAAATAAGGGTCAAGAGGCCCCACCCAAGGCAACCAGAACAGCTGCACATGGCTTGGAGTCCTAGGAAGCTAGTGGGAAACTCCTTCCATGGGGAACCGTCCTTCCCAAAGGACTAGAAGGTCCCAGTCTCTTAGAGCTTGGAACCTCCCTTGAGGCATGGGCCTTCTGCCTCCACCATGCCAAAATCCCCACCAGACGTTAAAAAAAACCCAAAAGACTTAACCTACACCATGCTTGTTTTCGAAGATGCAAATGCTAGAGTTAAGAATATGAAGGCTCCTAAACAAATCTTACATTCCAAAGAAAGGCACTGCTTTCATAAAATTCACCCTGGTGTGGTCCATGGAACCCCAAGGCCAAACTGACTCAAAGGTTGAGAAAAAAATTCACGCAAAAGGCTGATGCTTGTACGAAGGCCTCCATTCTCTGGAGTGAGAAGCCTTATTATTAATTCTCCTTCACAAGGTGCTTTTTCATCTTCAGGAGCCCTGAGTCCTCATGAAAATCCATTTTCAGAATTCCTGGCTATTTCAGAACCTTTTTTCCAAGACACTATTGTAAATGAGATTACTCCAAGAAATGGTTTTGAAGAAAACGTTCCTATAGAAGACACTCCTGTGCCACAAGAAGAAACTGCCCCTGAAAACACAGTCCACGGGCCTGCTGCTCTAGATTCCACGGTGACCCCACACAATGCCAAGTGATAAACAGAGCGGTGAAATGCAGTGGGAATACAACATGGGTACTCACGTACCCCCAAGCCCAAAAGCTTCACTTACCCGGTGCTCTCATCCCCAGGCGATCAATTTGAAATTCAGCTGAACCAGCAGCTAAGGTCCCTCATCCCCAACAACTCTGTGAAACTCATTTCTGACATTATCCAAATTTGGAAATGGACTGCTCTGAGTCCCAGGTGCAACTGGCCTCTGCCAAGCTTATCTCCAGAACTGGTGTCCTGATGAAGCTTCTTAGCGAACAGCAGGAAGTAAAGGTGTCCAGGGCAGAATGGAACATAGACCAATGGAAAACTGAGTACTACATCAGCGAGAGCCCGGAGGCCCAGAGTGAATGCAAAGAGCAGTACTCCAGCAGATGCCTGGAGATGGAACTATAGCCTGCTGCAGAGAAAAGGACAGTTTATCTGTCAATTTTAAATTAGAATTTTAAACAAGAAGAAAATAAAGAACTTATATATTTCTTATTTTTTAATATTTATTTAATTTTATTTATCACTAATATTATCATTATTATAATTATTTAATTTGCTGTAGGGCACATATCCTCACCAGAGAGTGACATATAGCAAAAGTGAGAAAGCAAGCCATCAAGTTCAGTACTCAAACTATGGCCAGTCATGTGGAAGTCCAGCACCTTAACCACTATGCCGCCTACTGGCCCCTGAACTCATTTGTGTCCATCTACTATAAAATAATAGTAAGGAAACTGCCAGAGTCAGGAAGAATACTTACTCTAATGCTTTTCCTGGTTCTAGGAAAGTGAGTTCTCACCAAGTCCAAGTTAGATAGGACCATCATGGATGCATCTGCTGTCATCAGTCCTTCAAGGAAAGAGGGTGGAGGGGGAGAGGTTTGGGTTGTGCCTGCTCCTGCTGGTGGTGGGCATCTGACCAGACCAGAGACCTCTGGAGAGGCTCTGGACAAGGGATAGGGAAGGGAAGACAACATGGTCCCGGATCAAGGGGGCTAGTCTCCTTCCAGCTGAGATGAGTCTTTCCTCTGAAGTGGTGGAAACACTTACCATCCCATCCTACTGACTTCTGACCACCCTCCATTCCTTTTAGCCAATCTCGAATTTTAGTTGTGAGAGACACTAGACAGTAGTTTGTCTCTTCCTTTCCTGATAAAGAAGGAGGCAGGGACAATATCTTGCCCTGTGGTGATTGTTACTAGTGAGTATCAGAAAGAGGATGATTCCTTTCCAGTTGGGGATTTCTTCATTGATTATACTGTGCCTGGGCTGTTTAAAACAAAGCCCTCTAAGCCAATCTCGAATTTTAGTTGTGAGAGACACTAGACAGTAGTTTGTCTCTTCCTTTCCTGATAAAGAAGGAGGCAGGGACAATATCTTGCCCTGTGGTGATTGTTACTAGTGAGTATCAGAAAGAGGATGATTCCTTTCCAGTTGGGGATTTCTTCATTGATTATACTGTGCCTGGGCTGTTTAAAACAAAGCCCTCTAATTTTTTCTTTTTTTTTTCTTTATTTAGAGAGGTTTTTGCTATAGCGCTTATGTGCATTCCAGAAAGACAGAGAGACAGAAAGCAAGAAATCAACACCCAGGGAGAATGGTCATAACACAATCTTTTTTTTTTTTTTTTTTGGAGAGGTTTTTACTATAGGGCGCACGCGCTCACCAGACAGAGAAAGAAAGAGAGACAGAAAGCGAGAAATCACCCCCCAGGGGGGATGGTCATGCCGCAATCTCTTTCTCCTCCATTCTCCTCTTGGGATCTTGGGCACGCATGCACACGTGATAATACAATCTTTTCACCTCCATTCCCCTTCCAGGATTTTGGGCACATACACATATATGTGCCTGGTGTGAGTTTTAAGCCGCTGGGTCCAGGACTCGAACCGCAGCCAACTACTGGGAGTCCAGTGATGTATTTCTGTTCATGTTCAGAAAGACTATCTTGTGCTTTAGTGATAGTCATGTCCATTAAACAGACTTTACAATTTACTCATCTTCAGGAACAGGCTGTGGTATGAAAATCTGTG